GCATGTAAACTCTCTTTACACACATAGTATCCCCAAGAGATTTTGAGAGCGCTGATTGGCTTTCTCGGCATTGCCTTCTGTTAAGTTTTTTTGTAGCTCCTCCTCAATAACATTTCTCCGTAGTTTGTTCCCAAAATGTAAATCAATCATAAATCAGTTCCAGTATATTCCTCCGGGATGTGCAGCTCTAGTGCGACGTAAATTAACAACAACAGCAATCTAATTTCTGCTCCTCTAATTTGTGCTTTATTCTTATTCGTACTAACTCTACTCCTAGAAATATACTATTTATTTTAATTTCTGCTCTTTTTTTAAAGATGCTTACCAAATTAGATGCTTACCTAGTAAGCTATAAGCGTAAAAATATTACTATTGTAAATGCAGATACTCTAAACTCCATGCATTTGAATTGTTGATATTATTACGAAAAGAGAATTTTTAAATTAAAAATATTCGACTAAAATAAAAAAAGTTATTTGAAACAACAAATTTCGGGGTGCACAACCTTTTTTAATACTTGCTCTGCATGTTGACTAGTGATAGGTTGCATGTTTATAGTAATTTTTATATAAATATTACGTCCAGAACCGAAATTATCTGGAAAAATAGTATTTCAATTTTTGCTTTATTTAGGTCGATAGTTCACTTGTTATTATTGAGCTAGTTTTAGTTTAAAATTTATTATAAAAGCTCTCTTTTATTTTGAAGTTTTATTTGGCGAAAAATTATTGAATTGTGTAGGATATTGTAAATGGCGTAAACCTATTTGGTGTAGTGAATATATCTTATATAGTTCTGTAACGAAGTAAACAAAAAATTTACTCATTAGTAAGAGTTAACAAAATTGAAATAATTCATTTGCTATTTAAAACAGTGCTTAACATTCAAGAAACCAGTTTATTTATTTTCTTGATAAATTTGTGTGTATTGTGTAATACTTAGCTTTGTGTATCTGAAATATTCTAATGTGTTTAAACATTACTTCTCAGAATTCCAATTGCTGTTTTTAATTGGAATATTATCTTTATTTCATTGTTTTGTAACTTTTGTATTAAGATATAAAATCTGTGATGCTCATTCTAGACCTTTAAAAGGGCAGGGCATTAGAAACTGTATAGAGCTCCTAAAAAAAGGGCACCAATCATAAAAAAGAGCTTTATTTACAAATATTTGCTTAACTTTTAAGACACCCAAATTATACAAAGTTTTTAATTTTATCACTAAAAAATATTTTTTTTGAGATAATTAATTTAAATTTAAAAAAATTATTCCCTAGTTAAATTGGTACATTCTATAAATTGTTTTTAAAGTGAACTTAATTATCAAAGTTTGAAGCTCATGAAAAAATATCTATATGGTTTGAAAGTTGGTGTGAAATTTACATTTTTGTAAAATCATCATATTGTTTTTCTTTTCATGTTGATAACTATGCTTATTCCTGCACTTAATTTTAAAAAAAATTTCTTTCTGATCTAGAACATCCTCGAAATTTTTTTAGAAGCTGAAGATTGCAAACATAAAAGAATTGACTCGCATTGGTAGTTAAAAATCTAAGAAGCTATCAGCTGATCTAATGGTAATTAAAAAATAACCTAAGCCAATAATTCTCTTTCTTGTGTGTTTCAAAATTTATAATAACTACTGAAACCAAACTTTAAGTTTATCAATTGATAAATCATGTCAATTGATCATGTGCGTACAATATGAATTTTTAACATGTGCTGTCAGCACTGTAAAATGCATATTTATCAACTAGCTTAATTTAATTGAATATTATTATCCCATATCTGTTAAATATGCTACAGCAGATACGATGCTGTAAAATTTGTATTTCACCATTTGTATTGTAAACTAATGCTATCAAATTTTTATTGTAACATAAATATTTAATATGCATAAGCAGGTCGTCGGGCTACCGAAGCGGAGGATCAAACCCCATCCCCTCCGCAGAGGATCAAACTTGTGATGGCATATCTTCGGATTTCCGGGATGTTTCCCAGACCGTCTCCAATAGCCCATTGTGCAGCTCTAGTGCGACTTAAATTAGCAGCAACCTAAAAAAAAAAAAAAAACTAGTAACGGATAGAAAACTAGTAAGCTATAAGCGTAAAAATATTTTCACGCAATCCTTCGAAATTGATCAAATGTAAACAATTTTTATTTTATTAGCATTTGAATTGTTGATATAATTACGAAAAGAGAATTTTTAAATTAAAAAAATTCGACTAAAATAAAAAAAGTTCTTCAAATTTCGGGGTGCACAACCTTTTTTTTTACTTGCTCTGCATGTTGATTAGTGCATGTTATAGTATTTTGTTATAGTAATTTTTATATAAATATTACGTCCAGAACCGAAATTATCTGCAGAAAATAGTATTTCAATTTTCACTTTATTTAGGTCGATAGTTCACTTGTTATTATTGAGCTAGTTTTAGTTTAAAATTTATTATAAAAGCTCTCTTTTATTTTGAAGTTTTATTTGGAGAAAAATTATTGAATTGTGTAGGATATTGTAAATGGCGTAAACATATTTGGTGTAGTAAATATATCTTATATAGTTCTGTAACGAAGTAAACAAGAAATTTACTCATTAGTAAGAGTTAAAAAAAACTGAAATAATTCATTTGCTAGTTTAAAACAGTGCTTAACATTCAAGAAACCAGTTTATTTATGTTCTTGATAAATTTGTGTGTATTGTGTAATAGGACTTAGCTTTGTTTATGTGAAATGTGCTAATGTTTTTAAACATTACTTCTCAGAATTCCAATTGCTATTTTTAATTGGAATATTATCTTTATTTCATTGTTTTGTAATTTTTATATTAAGATACAAAGTCTGTGGTCCTCATTCTAGACCTTAAAAAGAGCAGGGCATTAGAAACTGGAAAGAGCCCCTAAAAAAAGGGCACCCACCTTAAAAAAGAGCGTTATTTACAAATATTTGCTTGACTTTTAAGACACCCAAATTATACAAAGTTTTTAATTTTATCACTAAAATTTTTTTTTTGAGATAATTAGTTCAAATTAAAAAAAATTGTTCCCTAGTTAAATTGATACATTCTGTAAATTGGTTTTAAAGTGAACTTAATTATCAAAGTTTGAAGCTCATGAAAAAATATCTATATGGTTTGAGAGTTGGTGTGAAATTTGCATTTTTGTAAAATCCTCAGATTGTTTTTCTTTTCATGTTGATAACTATGCTTATTCGTGCACTTAATTAAAAAAAAAATTTCTTTCTTATCTAGAACATCCTTGAAAATTTTTTAGAAGCTGAAGATTGCAAACATAAAAGAATTGATGGACATTTGTAGTTAAAAACAAGAAGCTATCAGCTGATCTAATGGTAAATAAAAAATAACCTAAGCCAATAATTCTCTTTCTTGTGTGTTTCAAAATTTATAATAACTACTGAAACGAAACTTTAAATTTATCAATTGATAAAGAATGAGTTCATGTGCCTACAATATGAATTTTTAACATGTGGTGTCAGCACTGTAAAATGCATATTTATCAATTAACTTAATTTAATAGAATATTAAGTCATATCTGTAAAATATGTTACAGCAGATAAGATGCTGTAAAATTTGTATTTCACCATTTGTATTGTAACATAATGTTATCAAATTTGTATTGTAACATAAATATTTAATATGCATAAAATGAATATTTATCAACTAGATTAAATAATTAAGTAATTTCAGGCCAGATCTGTGTACTGTAAAATTTCTATTCAAAATTAGTTACTTATAAGTTGCATTTTCCTACATTTAGATATTATATTACATTTAGATATTATATTATATAATACCCTGGAAAAAAATCTTACAGCTTTTACCTAAGTTCTTGTTTATATATTTCTTTTTTGATTTTTAAATATTATATATAAGTTATTTTATTTTTTGTTTCAATTTTTAAAAAAAGTTTAAATGCTTTTGCTTCTGATCAGGAAAATCATTGTATCATTTTGTATTTTTTTTTATTTGAAGATGAAGGAAAAATTCACTTGATTTAAATCATGATTAAGATATCACTTTAAAACACTTGATTTTTCAAAAAAAATCATTAATTTATATAAATTGTGATATTTAATTTTAAAAAACATCACTAACTTAAACCAATTGATTTTTTTTTATTTTTAAATTATTTAATTAAGCCTAAAATATTTTTGAAAAATATATATTTAATTAATATATTTTTATATAAGTCTATAAGAATATATATTAATATATTCTTATATAAGTTATTCTTACATAGTCTGATTTTATTGAAAATATAATATTAATTGATATAGCTTGAACAAAAATAACTATGATTTTATTAAATAATAATGTTAACCAGTTATTAACTGTTTTAGCAATATTGTTTTTAAGTATTATTAATGCATTTTTGCATATGCTTTAATTGATATAATTGTAAAATTAAATAATAATAATCTGATTTAAATTCTACAAAATATGATTTAAATTAATTCAATTTTTTAAAAAAAAAAGATCATACTTGCTAACTATCAAGATATAGTAAAATTCAAGCAAAAAAAAGGCAATTAATAAGTATAATAAGGCTACTTTAGTATAAGTATAATAAGGATACTTTTAGCTGGCTCCTGTCCAGACTTGGTTTGAAGCAGAGATGGGCATTTGTCATTCAGAATAATGAATGATGAATAAAGATTTATTCATTAGTCAGAAATACTTTGAATAAAGAATAAATCATTCATTCTTCGTTATTCAGTATCCTTTATTCATTAGTCGAGAATAACTGANCAAAAAAGTTTGGCAACCCCTGCTCTAAGGGATGATTTAATGGCAAATCTATTTATTATGAGTGAAAAGCATAAAAAACATCCATAGCTTGCTACCACATAACATTAAGTGTTTAATGAATTAATAAAGAAAGAACAAACACACGAACAACTCTGGTTTTTGAGTTGTTAGTACAGTCGAAACTCATTAATGCGAAACCGCTTAATGTGAAATATCATTTTACATGAAACACATGTTTGGTCCTGTGAGTCAGCAATTCATCATTGTTGTATTTAACAAGAAATTTTCAAGCCATCCATCATTCCATCTACTATTACCAATAATTTCCAGAATGAAGCATTTAGACCTATCAAATACGCTCTGAAATTTTAGATAGAAGATTAGACACAATTAGATAAAATTAGACACAGAGAAACATGCTGGAACTGGTCAATGATAGCTTGTGAGGCTGTGTCTTTCCAACTAAATTCAAAAAATTTCTGAATATGTTTTTACAGCTTTTTTACAGTTTGTTTCATTCGTCTGTCGCCTTTTTAATTTTGAAATCATTCAGTCTTTTACTAGACATCCTGTATTCGATTCCTTTTTTTTAAATGTTTTTTTCTTATCTTTTTTATCATTTCAGAAGGTGCAATAAAGTTTTGCCCATTGCGTCTGCTGCATACCAAGAAAACCTACCCACTCACTACACTGAGAATTATCATGAAACTAGGGTTATAAGAGATTTTAATAATTCCAAAATTGCATAACTATAAATGGAATTTTTCTCTGATTCTATTTGTAATTTACTTTTAGCTTGCTCATGCTTTACACGTATTTAACATCCACGCAAGGGGTCCGGCCGTGCTGAGATTCGCTCAGCAGCTGATGGAAGACTGCGAAAGGCTCTGGAAAAACGGACATCAAATGTGCGAAGTTCTCAGCCTTACTGGAAATCATTGCATGAATCCAGCGAGTTTCTTTTTTATTTGTTGTTACTTCATTTTATTCAAAGTATCACTGCATTTTAGTATTGGGTATGTTAACGTTATGGAAATATGCACTCGACAAATGCATGGGTGATTTTATTCCAAGGGCACTCCCGAATTCTGTTTTTTTCATATTATTCTTCCAGGTTTAAAAATTTGCAATTTGTGAGGCATGCAATTTTAGCATGAATATAGCGGTATTTCGCATAAATCAAGAGCATTGGTTTGCGTCCTTTTGTGAATCAAAAACTTTTGACCCGGTAAAAGTTAGAAGTTTTTTTTTTAAATCCTGTTTGCGCGATATTTACTTTCAAACCAATGCTATGAATGGAGATCTGAAAGAAGGCAAAAGTCGACCCTTCTATCAAGCGATGAAAACTACTTTCGATACTGATGTGAAATTCTCTGAAGGGTAATATAATTCATTCTAATCATATCCCCCTTTGTTATTGAACCTCTAAGGGAGGATTTAATGGCAAATCTATTTATTATGAGTGAAAAGCATAAAAAACATCCATAGCTTGCTACCACATAACATTAAGTGTTTAATGAATTAATAAAGAAAGAACAAACACACGAACAACTCTGGTTTTTGGATTGTTAGTACAGTCGAAACTCATTAATGCGAAACCGCTTAATGTGAAATATCATTTTACATAAAACACATGTTTGGTCCTGTGAGTCAGCAATCCATTATTGTTGTATTTAACAAGAAATTTTCAAGTTGATTATTGGTTAACATGAAAGGAAACTGGACACAACACAGATAATAAGCATGTGAATAAAATCCTAATCATTCATTTTGAGAAATGCTATTTCTATTTTCTTCCTCCGTTAGAGGTAGCAGATGGGGAAATAAACAAAATAGTAAAAATAAAGTAGTTAAAATTTTTAAGATTGTTTTATTTGGTTCATAATAGTAATGTTTGCTTACATTACTGTAGTACATAACATGTATTAATAATACGTAACAAATTATTTTAATAATGTGTCGGATAAAACAAAATTCAAATATATTTTTACAGCTTTTTCACGGTTTGTTTCATTCATCTGTCGCCTTTCATTTCAAAGATCTTTAATATCAGTCAGTCATCCTCTGTATCTAAACTATGTTGCAATTTGTACAAATGACATACTTAATACATTTTTATTAACAAACACAGTCTTAAAAATCTTCTATCTTCTTCTCTGAGTGCTTATTGCTGTCTTTTTTATTCTTTTCTCTTTCAATTAAAATTAAAAAGAAGTTTTATTTAAACGTTTTTAGAATGATGAAGTTGCTTTAAAGAATGAGAAGCGGCTATCAATGATTTTTTTTAAAAACCAATTATCACTTTTTATCAAGTGTTCCATCTACTATTACCAATAATTTTACAGAATGAAGCATTTAGACCTATCAAATACGCTCTGAAATTTTAGATAAAAAAAATTAAAACTAGACACAGAGAAAAATGCTGGAACTGGTCAATGATAGCTTGTGAGGCTGTGTCTTTCCAACTAAATTCAAAAAATTTCTGAATATTTTTTTACTGTTTGTTTCATTCGTCTGTCGCCTTTTTAATTTTGTTAAAAGTTTTTTAATTTTGAAATCATTCAGTCTTTCACTAGACATCCTGTATTCGATTCCTTTTTTCTAATGTTTTTTTCTTATCTTTTTTATCATTTTAGAAGGTGCAATAAAGTTTTGCCTTAGCGTCTGCTGCATACCAAGAAAACCTACCCACTCACTACACTGAGGATTATCATGAAACTAGGGTTAAAAATGATTTTAATAATTCCAAAATTGCATAACTATAAATGGATTGATTCTATTTCAAACTCTGATTCTATTTGTAGTTTACTTTTAGCTTGCTCACGCTTTACACATATTTAACATCCACGCAAGGTGTCCGGCCTTGCTGAGATTCGCTCAGCAGCTGATGGAAGACTGCGAAAGGCTCTGGAAAAACGGACATCAAATGTGCGAAGTTCTCAGTCTTACTGGAAATCATTGCATGAATCCAGTGAGTTTCTTTTTCAATTGTTGTTACTTCATTTTATTCAAAATATTACATCATTTTAGTATTGTGTATGTTAACGTTATGGAAATATGCACTCGACAAATGCATGAGTGATTTTATTCCAAGGGCATTCCCGAATTCTGTTTTTTTCATATTATTCTTCCGGGTTTAAAAACTAGAAGTGAGGCATGCAATTTTAGCATGAATATAGTGGTATTCCGCATAAATCAAGAGCATTGGTTTGTGTCCTTTTGTGAATCAAAAACTTTTGATCCGGTAAAAGTTGGAAGTTTTTTTTAAAATCCTGTTTGCAGGATATTTACTTTCATTCTTTCGCCAATTAGGGTGACCCAGGGAAATTAACGATCACTCTGTTTCTGGGGTAAATAATGATCACCTAAGTTTTATTTAAAAAAATTAAAAAACCGGAATTATTTTTTAATTTGATACATGGACAAGAATGCTTGTACTTTTTACTAAAGTGTAACTACATTTACTTAAATATATTATTATATTGTAATAATTAGACCATATTATTAGACGCATTGTAGTTTTTCAAAAATTACAAGTTTTGCAAGAGTTTGCTTGCAATACTCTTACATTTAAACATACATGTAATGGACTTTTACTCAGGTGATTTTTTACTATACTTCCTATTTGTATTTATTTTTAACGTATTGCATTACAATGATAACCCATTGATACACTAATGTAAACAAGTGCAAACCGGTTTCAGTTGCGTAAAAGCAATAAAGCTGTATAGTATCACCTGATAATTAAGATTTTACTTAGAATCTTATAATGTGTCTAATAATTTGGCTTAGGGACTGTATATATACACACATATATTTATTACATAAATGTTAATTTTGCAGTGGAAACTCTCTGTTTGCGGTTCCTGCTAATCAAGAGTTTGTCTACATATTCTCTACAAAGCGATATCTCTCAGATTTTATTGGATTCTTTTTGTCTCAAATAAGGTACCACTGCCAAATGGCTAAAGACTTGGGTATGACTTTCATTTAATTTCGCTTATTAAACTTCTTTTTTTCGAGAACAAATGTCTTCGAAGTCAACCTCATTTACAATAATTATTTCTTATTATCTCTTGTAACATTAAACTTTTTTTAGCTCTTGACTATACATGTTTTATAAAAGTAAAGGGAAAATCACCTAGAAAAAGTGCCTCATTGCTGAAGAAAACAACAGCATTTGCTATAGATTATTGTTAAGAAATGTTTTGTTATTTTTGCAATTTCTTAATTTTACAAAAATTTTTTTTTTTTTTTTTTAAAAATGCAATTGTAAAAGTTTTTTTGTTGTAAAAAAACTTCTTTCATGAATTATTCTACTTCTTGTTCTGTGTTTTACTACAAATTTCATATTTAAATTGCAATATATTTTCTAGCTTTGGATTTGTTCAATCCAAGCTGTGCTGCTGACAGGCTAAACGTGGGTGGTATTCTAGGTTAACCCACAAAAAAAAATCTGCATAAATCAAAAATCATAAATCTGAAGGGGAAAAAAATTATGGCTTTTGAGAATATCNGTAAGAACTCCCCTAGCTCATTTGTCTAGAACCGTGGCAGTGACTATGGTAACAAGGTATAACTATTTCAAGTAGGGGTGTGGGGTCATTATTTAGGACAGGTTTCGGCTCTGGTCAGCGGGAGAAAGGGAAACTTTTTTTTTCCAGTCTACTACCCCGTGACAGAATCATGGCGACATTGTCGCAGAACGTTACAGAGTTCATGCCGAAATTCTTTTGAAAAGGACAAATTTTGAGTTTTCTCGTAAATTTGTCTCTTGAATTCCACGTAATGTTTGAATCATACATTTAGACGTGCTCAATTCACGCAGATAGTATCGTAAATCGATGTAATGTTTTGATTGAAGTTTCGGTAGTTATTGATTTTCACGTGATTTGAAACAATCTGAAATTTTTCATATTGTTTAATATTTCATACAATATGAAAATTTTGAATCGTGTATTTGAGTATTTGATTTTTAAGGCAGTAATACTATTGAATTTTTAGCAGTTATTGCTATTGATTTTCTCCATAGATTTTAAATCCGATATTTTATGTACGATATTATTTATTACAACCTAATCTTGAAATGAAACACGGATTTGAGGAGACCGATTCGAGTGAGTTCATCATTGATCTTTTTTTCGGCAACGGATTTCATGATTTTAATTAATTTTTTTATTGTGATTATTATTTGAAAAATGTGGCAAGGAAAATAATTAGTGTACCCCCCATCCAAAGAATACAAGAATATCACCATATTAGAATAAAAAATTATTACATGTTCAATTAAAAAATATAATAGTTTTTCTTTTTTTGAAAACACAGCACTTTTATTATTTTAAATTAGTAACGTATATATGTTTGTTATTATTAAAAGTATCTTGCAGAAAGGTATTAATGGTAGGGAGTTTTGTCACAGATAGCTTGAAAAAATTCTGCCACAAGGGTTAATTGTGTTAATCTTAGAGTGAAGAGAAGTTACCCGCCCTGAAAAGTGCCATTCTTGTTTCTATAGCAGCAGACTTTGTGGCGGGGGAGTTCTGAAGGTAGACAAAATGTAGGCATAATCTATGGTCAAAAGAAATTTTAAATACAGTGTAAAGTCGCGTATCCGGAAGTTGTGACATCTGTTATTAATGTGCTATGGCATATGTGTTATAATTTATATTTAATAATGTTCTAATCATAATTATATTATAAAATTTCATAATTTTAAACCTAGGCAAAAAGTCGTGGAGTCTGCTATTATTACTAAAATGATAGCATTGTAAATTTTTCATATTTTCTGTGATACACAATTTAAAGAATGTTTTTTTTGAAGGGTTTTTGCAAAGGAAAATGAAAAGAAACCATTATTAAATTTCTAGTTACATTAAAGATATTTTTCTCAAACTTGAGGTAAAGCTTTAATTTGAAACTGTATAATGCTTTTTTGCTGAATGTAATTTATTCGATTTTAAAATAACAAAATATTTTTGAAAAAAATATTAAGCATTTTTATGAATTTTCTAGTTTTGTAGAACTTTTTCACCCAAAGAAAAATCTCGTTAAAATCAATGAATATTTCGTATTTTTTTCATATTTTTATGAACCTTTACAATGCAGTGATGAAGTAACTTATGAAATATTAAATAATTTGGGCATAACAGCTTTATTTATTTTTTTTTTTTTTAAATTGAAGTTTTGGATTTTTCTTCTTTTTGAAAATAGTTTTTTACTTTGAAATTTTTTAGTTTTGAAGAGAAATGTCACTAAATAATTTAGCAGATACAAACTCACAACAATTTTTAAGAAGTGTTATTTTATTGGAATCAGTTATAAAAGTTACATATTATTTATTAAAAATTGATGTTTCATATGAAACAGTTATAAAAGTAACACATTATTACTAAAATATTGTTTCATATTAAACTGTTTGAAAATACCATATTATTACTGTTTCATTTGAAACAGCAATAAAAGTGACATATTATTTGCCAAGATTTGTTGTTTCATACTAAACAGTTATAA